GTGATTATACAGCTCTTTAAGTAAAATTTGTGACTCTGGTTCTTGTGTACAAAATTAATTTGTACTGGTAGGATTTAAATATCCTTTTTAAGGTAAAGAAGAATTTACCTTATTGCATTTTATATTTCCAGTAAAATTAATTTTGTACATAAGATGTACATGTAAGATTAGTCACAATTTTACTAGTGACAATAATAAAATTGTAACCCAAAAATAAATATACTGATTGGATTTGAATATCCTGGAAAGGTAGGAATTTACCTTATTGCATTTTATATTTCCAGTATATTTATTTTGTGACACAATTTATATGTTCCTAATTTTGTCACCTTCCTTCCTTTTTGGACCATACTTCAGTTCACACAATGATCATTCAATATTGAATAGAGAATTTAAACATCAAGGGAGGATGACATCATCAAAACTATATTTCATCAAAGTCTGAGGGGCCTAACAAACAGCATATGCTAAATCCGGGCGAGTGAAAGACAAATAAATAAGACGACCAACAAGCCGTCGATAAGATTCCGGATCAGCCAATAGATCACCCGTAGCGAGGCCCAGAGAATGATTTTGTTCCATGGGAAAAGTAGAGGGTTTAGCCCCAAGAAGTCCTGCTTCAGAAATAATGTCGAGGATATATTTTCGCTGACACAGATAGATACCATCTGAATTCCGGGCCACCTCGATGCCAAGAAAGTATTTAAGTACACCCAAATCCTTCATGTAAAAGCAAGTATTCAAATAAGATTTAAATTGAGACAAAGCGTCACAATCATTGCCTGCAATAATCAGATCATCCACATACACGAGAACATGTAGACGCACAGCGCCCTTGCGGTAAGAGAATAGTGAATAATCGGCATAAGACTGAACAAACCCATATTGTTTGAGAGAATTAGCTAGCTTAGCAAACCAGCACCTCGGAGCTTGACGAAGGCCATACAAGGATTTTCGCAGGCGGCATACGAGACCTGGCTGTGACGGGGAAAAACCGGGGGGAGGTCGCATGTAGACCTCTTCAGCAAGATCTCCATGCAAAAAGGCATTATGAACGTCCATTTGATGAAGTTCCCAATTTTGAGCAGCAGCAACTGCTAAAAGAAGGCGAACGGTGACCATTTTGGCCACTGGAGCAAAAGTTTCTGTGTAATCAATACCAGCCTCTTGGTGATTCCCGAACACAACAAGACGGGCTTTTAGGCGCTCAACAGTGCCATCAGATTTGTATTTAATTTTGTAAACCCACTTGCACCCGAGGGCCTTTTTACCATGGGGTAGAGGTGTCATCTCCCATGTGTGATTATTTTCAAGAGCTTGTATTTCACTTTGCATGGCCGAGCGCCAACCAGGGTCGGTCATAGCTTCGCGGAAAGAGCGAGGTTCCTGACCTGCAAGAATAGCTCCAAGAAACGTGCGATGACCAGTAGAGTACTTATCACAAGAAACATAATGACTAATAGGATACCGCGTACCTGAGGAGCTGATAGAGCATGGTGGACGAGATGGGCTAGGGTTTCGGATATGATGTGCCACGTAATCTTGGAGCAAGACGGATGGTCGTTTAGATCTCATACCTCGGCCGAGAGCAGTACTGACGGAGGTAGTGTCGGCTGGGGAGATAACGGTATCATGTGTCGGTGTAATAACGGCAGCGGGAGAAACATCCTCGATCGGCTCAAAAATAGGGGTGACGGTAGCATGAGCTGGGGCAGCATCAGATGATTCAGAGGACATATCCATGAAAGGAAACACATCCTCATGAAAATGAACATCTCTAGACACAAAAATATTTCTCGTATCACAATCGAGCATCTTCCATTCTTTCTTGCCATTAGAATAACCAATGACGACACACTTCCTGCTGCGTGGAAGAAATTTATCTCCACCAGTGTTCAAGTTATGAGCAAAGGCTAAGCAACCAAACACCCGCAGTTGAGAAAAATCTGGCGGTTTCCCCGTTAGAACTTCATAGGGTGTTTTTCCTTCTAAGAGTCCTGAGGGAGTGCGATTAATAAGATGAACCGCAGTGAGCACACACTCACCCCAGAGATAAAGTGGAACATTAGCCTGGAACATTAGTGCATGAGCAACATTTAAAATATGGCGGTGCTTACGCTCCACCCTACCATTTTGTTGGGGGGGGGGTGCACACATGACGTCTGAAACAAAATTCCACGTTGCTCAAAATAGGGTAGTAAACACTTAAATTCTGTTCCATTATCACTACGCACAGTCTTGACCAATGCATCAAATTGCTTTTCAATCATGGCAATAAAGGAGAGAAAAAAACGATATACTTCCTTCTTATCACGAAGAAGATAGACCCATACAGCACGTGAATAATCATCAACCAAAGTCATGAAATAAATAGCATCACAAGTAGAGGGGGTTCTGTACGGACCCCATAAGTCACAATGAATTAATTCCAAAGTTCTACTTGCTTTATTACTACTAACAGGAAAAGAGTCACGCACTTGTTTGGCTTGTGGACACACCTCACAAGGTTTATTCAAACGTTTAGTAAAAGAACTAGACTTAATAGCAGGTAATAATTTAATCACGCGATCAGATGGATGACCCAAGCGGCGGTGCCATAATTCAAACTCAGGCAAATCTGAAGTGTGGACGGCGTGCAACACAGGTACCCTCTGAAAAAAATATAGCCCATCTCGTCTCTCACCGGCTCCAATCAGGCTCTTCGAAGGTCGGTCCTGTATAGCACAAAATGTATCAGTGAAAGTTACTAAACATGCAGACTGATCAATTAACTGAGATACATAAATAAGATGACACGCCAATCCAGGTACATAAAGAACATGCTCCAAAATAAGACATTTAGTAAGGCGGACCCGACCCGCTAAATTAGCCTCAACGCTTCGGCCATCTGGCAGCCCTACCAGACGTGTGCCAATGACAACTCGATCTGTTAGACATGATATATCACCAGTAACATGATGGGATGCACCCGTATCAATAATCCAGTCAAACTTACCAGACATACGGTCACACGAGCGTGTTTCAGCATTAATTAAATTAAGCAAAGCTTGAACCTGCTCCCTACTTAGGTCGGGCAGCCCAGCCAAGGCATTCGCAGAAGAAGTTCCAGACGCAGAGGAAGTTCCAGCTTCATGAATAGTTACTGCATGAGTTTTGACCCCCCCTCCACGGTTAGCAGTTCCACCATTGGGCCAGTTCCTGTCTTCCCACCATTCAGGATAGCCTAGCAACTTAAAACATGAAGTAATATCATGGCCTTTCTTCTTGCAATGCGCACAAACCAGTTTGGTCTTATCGGGTTTCTCCTGTTTCCCTTTATTTTGCCGCTCAGCCTGAAGAGCAAAAGCATGAGTATCGACTGCCGCTGTTTTACCCCGAGCAATAGCTCTAGAATTCTCCTCCTGAAGTAAGGCCATGTACGCCCTGTTCAAGTCAGGCAGCGGGTTCTGAGAAAGAAGGTTGGAGCGTACGGTTCCATAGGCATCATCGTCGATGCCTACAAGAAATTGATGGAGCTGTTCTTCGTCACGATCGGCAGCGAGCTTGGCAGCAAGTCCACAGGTACATAACCCACATGTGCACGCGTGTAATTGTTTCAAACGATACAATTCATCGTAATAACCCATAAGAGTCGTATAATAGGCATCCACGGTCATCGTCTTCGACTGGCGGCAGTCCGTGATGGAGGCACGAAGCTGCTGTAGCCGTGGTCCGTTGGCCACACTGAAACGCCCCTCCAAGTAAACCCATAGCGGACGTGCTTCGTCGTGGAAGGGAATTGAAGCCGTCACTTTCGGATCCATACAACGTAGTAACCATGAAACAACCATGGAGTTCACCGTCTCCCAGTCAGATTCCTTCGGTGCGTCAGATTTCTTTACGGTTTCATCAATGAACCCGTTTTTCCGGCGTGCTTTCAAGGTCAGAGAAATTGCCCGAGACCAGGCCACAAAGTTTTCCCCTGTAAACACCACATGGATGATTACGTTGCCGGGTTGGTCACCGGGACTCAAATAAAAAGGAGAAGTTGGGTCACTCATCCTTCAACGATGCTTCAATTCCAATCACGCTGGTGTGGAGATCGTCAATCAATGTGTGATGCCGAACCCCTCTTGCTCTGATACCATATAAGATTTAGGAAAGAATAATATTTTATTGAGTAAAATCTTTTTCTCTCTTGCTTTACAAAGGATTCGAGTATATCTATATATACACGTATAAGATGCTATGGCTGAGATAAATTGAGCCCTTGGCCCACTTAATATAACATATATACAATGTATAGTGAAGGCCCACCACACTCTAATAGAATAGGTAGGTTTCAAATATTTTTATTAATTAAATCGCACTTTTATTCATTGTTTAATCATTTCTATGTTAAGATTAAACAATGATATACGGAGTACAAATTCGTGCATATGACTATATGAGTTCTGTTTTCTTTTGTTTACATTATATATAAACATTGTTATGATAATCAGATCACAGATGGCTGCCAATGGCGTAAGTATGGTCAGAAATTGGCAAAAGGGAACCCTTGCCCTCGAGCATATTACCGGTGCACCATGGCGACCGGTTGCCCAGTTCGGAAGCAAGTATGTTTTTTCACTCATATAGTCATATGTTCATATATATAAAATGCCCCAATTCTTTTCAATAACTTATTTAATTAACTTTGTAATTGAATTTTAATCTGGAATTTCATCGACATAATCTATACCACATGAATAACATTATATTCTCACATAATTTCATAAAAAGTTTCACCTGAAAACACCTCAAATGGATTCCGCACAGCAATTCTGATATAGAGCTGTTAATATGAATTGCCCTCTTGTTTTGTATATTTACCACATCAAACCATTAGCTTAATTTTGTGAGATGTTTTTTAATATGTAAATTTAGTAAAAGCCTATTTGATTACCTTTTTTTTTCGGTTTATCAGGATTCAGACTTATCAGCAAATTTTTTTTATATCAAAAACGTAATTTTGATTTCGCGCACTGAATTGTTTAATAATAAGAAAAAGTACGATTCGAGATACTTTTCTGACTATATTGACTGAAGTTACTGTAGACGATCATTTAACTATTTTTTCATATAATTTTTCTTTATTTATTAATAAAATATATCATAATTTTTTTATAAATCAATCAATCAATTCAATCATTTCAATTACAACTTCAGAAAATTCGTCCGATATCCATATTAGTAAAAGAGGCTCTAAATTGGGACGGTTCAATTTATCCTTAATATGCAACTTATGTTGTCTTGTTCGATTGAATGATAGGTACAGAGATGCGCAGAAGACCGAACAATTCTGATAACAACCTATGAAGGGAATCACAACCACCCATTGCCGCCGGCCGCCATGGCTATGGCGTCCACAACCCAATCGGCGACGAAGATGCTGCTTTCCGGATCCCTGCAAAGCGCTGACGGCGTAATCAGCCCAAACATGTTAGCCACCGCTTTATTCCCGTGCTCGTCAAGCATGGCGACAATCTCAGCCTCTGCCCCATTCCCGACCGTCATGCTAGACCTAACCCAAACCACAAATAATAATAACAGTAATAATCTACTCCAATTTCCACCGCCATTGACGCCGCAGGTTTTTGGGCAAGCTTTATTTTCGCAGTCGAAATTCTCAGGCCTGCAATTTTCTCAGAACAGGGAAAATCAGAACCAAATCGCAGGATCTGATGTCAATGCTCGGCTTCTTGAGACGATCAATTCCATGGCTGGCGACCCGAACTTCACGGCTGCTTTAGCAGCCGCCATTTCTTTCTTGATCGGGAATTCATCAGATCCGGCCAATGTTACAAACTCCAACACCAACAATAATGGCAGTAACAAATCCACCAATTCTGGTGTTCAAGCAAATTAAATTTGATATACTAGACAGGGGAGGATGAGTCTATGACGATACTCCATATGATTCCGAGTTATGATGCTTTTTAAAATTTTGTACTCGCTTCACCTTCAAAGTTTTGGTAGTTCAGTATCTTCATTTCGTTGAATAATGTATTTTTAATTTAAGTTTTGTTTGATGTTTTTTAGCCCCATAAGTCACATTGAAGTAGTTTATTTTCACGGAGAATCAATTGAGTCATACTCCCTCCGTCCCGCTATAATTGTCCTATTTTACCATTTCGGTCCGTCCCACTAAGATCGTCTCATACCTTATTTGGTAAAAATTGTGTGGTTCTAAATCATTCCTACTTTATTCTTACTTTATGAATTCAATATCAACCACATAAACCCACTTTTATTAATAACCGTGTCACCTTCTCTTGTCCCAAACTTAGGGGGACGGAGGTAGTATTACTTTTATGCGATTCAATTAGGTTCAATTAAAAGTCTATTCACTCCAGGCTTTTATCAAGGACCATCATACTCCGTATGTAGACACTAATACATAAGTTAACTCAGATTTTGAAAATTTCTTGATCAGTACTACAATATATAAATTGAATCAATTTAATTCTGATTTAGTCTAATTCCATTTACTCCGAATTCCATAAGTCTCATCTATATAGGTTTGGTCTTGTAATATGTGCATTTTGTTGTTATTTAAGTTTAGTCTAGCCTTATCTTATCTATTTAAGTTCCTTCTAGGTTGATTGGTGTAAGTCTCTAGACGCGTATGGTCTTGTATTGTGTGTCTCTACTTGAAATGTTACTCTTACCATGTTATTTCATCATGCTCTCTACCATATTATCATCTTCAATTGCGGTTTAAATATTTCACGAAGCTTTTTAATAAAAAATGAGAATTTACCCTAAATAGGACTAAAAATGTTTGTAAATTCCGAAATGGAACTGTCATGTTTTTAATTCCCAAAATGGGACTAATTACTGTCATGTTTTGGCAGTACCAGACTTTAAACATGACAGTATTTTCCAAACTTGACAGTAATTACTCCTATTTTGGGAATAAAAACATGACAGTCCTATTTTGGAATTTACAAACGTTTTTGGTCCCATTTCAGGAACTTTCCCATAAAAAATTAAAGTACATGATTACATAACTAAACAACACTAAAAATAACTATAAATAATTCAATGCATTAACAATTTTAGTATTTGACAATTCAAAAACTTGGAAATAAAAATTATAAATTAAAAATACATCAATACATAATTAGACAAAACACATTCACATAGAAATCTCTACGGAGTGTGTAAATTGGATGGCTGAGATGTGTTCTCACTTCTCACATTAAAGCTTGTTCTCATTTGAACTTATATATATATATATATATATATATATATATATATATATATATATATATATATATATATATATATATATATATATATATATATATATATATATATATGGGTGGGTTCAAGTAAAAAGTAGTCTTCCCATCAAAAGTGAAAACAAATCTTGGTCTTTGATCACTTGAAAATGGATGGATAAGATGGACTTTAAACACAAGAGACAGTTTTATAAAAGTGTAAATGTTTATACTATAAAGTGAATAGTTACTGATTAAAATAGCACTCATGCGTGTCAAAAAAGATTGTCAAAATTTTCCAACTTGTACACTTTTTATTATGTACTGTATTCATGGATCTAAAAATCGGGCTAGACGCCACCTAGTCGCTAGGCGGTGGTCAGGCACCCCGACTTTGGTGTAATTAGTCGAAAAAATCGGTCGGGCGCCTAGGCGGGCTAGGCGGCCGACTAGGCGGCTAGGCGGGCGCCTGGGCGGGCTAGGCGATGGCTAGGCGGCCTGGATTAATTTTTTTCCAGATATAACTTGTTTACCCCATTTTGACTTAAAACAATGTTTGATCAATAAGTATTCTATTCCTATATAATTTAGTTTCATATTACTATGATAAAAATTAATTTTGAAATATTTAAAAACAAATAGAATGTATATGTGCATTTTTAGAGACTAAAAAATATAAATCTCTACATCTATCTATTAATTATTTTATTATTTATAATTTTTTTACAAAAATGATAATATATAATGATTATATGAGCTATTCCTATTGTCAAAATATTATAAAATTATTGGTAATATATTTAAAATTCAATGAAAATAAAAAGGAGGATTTACCCAAATAGGAGTAATTAAATTATTAATTGCTAAAATAGGACTAAAATTTAAAAATTCCCCAAATGGGAGTTATTATATGTAGCTATACAAAAATACCCCTGAAACTTGACAAACATAATCTCGCTGACTGACCGACCGATCGCATGACCGACCGCTATTGACCGCCGTCGGCCACCGCTGGCCGCCACAACCCACCGTTGCATCATCAAAACTAGCCACCCCTGCCGATCTGACCGCTGCCGCTGCAGGCCCGGCCACCGCCTCCGTAGATCTAAGTAAATTTGGCCACCGCCGGTCACCAACTGCCGCCCTTAAAAATCCGGTAGCCACCCCCACATATCCGGCCACTGGTACTGCAGTTCTGACCACCATCGCCGATGACGTCAGTTTTTTAGCAGAATGCCAACACGAATCAGAAATGTCATATTAATGGCATTTTCAAAGGTAAATAGAAAGTTTTTGAAGAACAGAAATGCCATTTTGATGACATTTCTAGAGGAAAATTGGCAATTGTAAAAACCAAAGAAGAAGATGGACATCAGATCTACGACCGAACAGAATACTAGAAAGAGACAAACGCAGAAGATTGAGAAGGAGGAAGGAGGAAGAAGAATGAGTTACTTTACTCCGCCAGTCCGCCTATGCTTGCCGCTGCCGCTCGTCGCCGCCGCTCTCCGCCGCCCTCGTCGCACCTAAAGGACTCGTTGCAGGTTGCCAATCAAAGAAAATGAGAGGAGAAGAAAACCTAATCTATCAGGGAGGAAGGGAAATTGAATACGGAGTAATAATGTGTGGAGCAAGGGGGAAAGGTCTGAGCGGAGCATAATGTCACACGTATGAGGGTAATTTTGGAATGGTGGTCCCATTTAGAGAAAATAAATTAACTGCTCCTATTTGAGATTTGACTAAAAATTTAGTCCTACGGAAGACAATTAGTTCAAATAAAAATAAAACAAAGAAATAAAGGGAAACACCTAGGCGACATATTGGGCCTAAAACTTTTTCTTTCTTGATGGGCCTAGGGCTCTTGCCCTGTGGCGGAGCTAGGGGCCAATCTAGGCCCAACTCACCCCAAATTCAAAAAAAATCTTATGTAAAAGGAAAAACTATCAAATAGGTCCTCGAACTTTCATAAAAAGGTCAATTAAGTTCTTCTATAGGAGGTTCAGTCCGGCCGTCGCGATTTGGGGCAGTTCCCGGTGGAATTTTTTTATGAAATTTTTTGAGCATCTTATTCACCAAGTCTAGTTTACTCATACCAAATTTCAGCTAAAAATTCAATCGGGAACACATTCAAATTAATTCTTGAAGATAACTGCGCATTTTTGCGTTCTCGAATTAATTTGAATGCGTTACCGATTAAATTTTTAGCTGAAATTTGGTATGAGTAAACTAGACTTGATGAATAAGATTTTAAAAAAAAATCATCAAAAAATTCCACCGGGAACCGCCCCAAATCGCGACGACCGGACAAAGTCTACTATAGAATGACTTAATTGAATTTTTTATGAAAGTTCGAGGACCTATTTGACAGTTTTCCCTATGTAAAAAATTTTCATTTGGAATTTTATCCTAAAACTATTTGTCCTCGTCTAGTATAGTCTGGTGTTTTCTGCTCCCGCCCCTACCCCTCCCTAGGGCTGCCCTGATTAAAACGTAAAGTAATTACAGTATTATTACACGGTTATGCAGTTAAACGTGACTCCTAATCATAGATTGTCTTACTTTGAAATCCGAACATGCGTATTGTACTAAACTTCAACCTTCTTTAGTTCTTAATAAATTATGCCAAACTGTACAGCCTTCCAAGTTCCCGATCCAGGCTGTTAAAAGCACACACAAAACCTTTTATCACGTTCTCTCCAAAGCACAAACCCCCTCTGTATATATACTCCGTACCATTCTGCAAAACTGCCAAAGTAAACAATTACCCAAAACAAAAGACTCCTCGCCATGTCCAATATGAGCTGGATCAAGGGCCAGATCATCGGCCGCGGCTCCTCCGCCTTCGTGTCCGTCGCCGTCTCTCGCCATTCCGGCGACATATTCGCCGTAAAATCCGCTGAGATTTCCAAGTCGGAATTCCTGCAAAGGGAACAGCATATTCTCTCTAATTTAAATTGCCCACAAATCGTCGAGTACAGAGGGTACGATGTCACCTCGGAGAACAATAAGGTCGTGTTCAATCTCATGATGGAGTATATGCCCGGAGGAACGCTCGACAGCGGCCGCCACGATGAGCCGTCGGTCTGCCGGTACACGCGGCAGATTGTGCAGGCGTTGGTTTACTTGCACTCGAATGGAATAGTGCATTGTGACATTAAGGGCAGTAACGTTCTGCTGGGAGAAGGCGGCGCCGCGAAAATTGCGGATTTCGGATGTGCTAAGCGGCTGAATCCGGCGAGGGGTGGGCGGGATTTGATCGGCGGGACACCGCTGTTCATGGCGCCGGAGGTTGCGCAGGGGAAAGATCAGGGGTTCCCGGCGGACATTTGGTCGCTGGGATGCACGATCATTGAAATGGCCACAGGTGTCTCGCCGTGGCCTAATTTCACCTGCCCGGCAACAATGCTGTTCAAAATAGCTTTTTCCGGCGAGCTGCCGCCGGTTCCGGAGTTTCTCTCCGATCAGGCGAAAGATTTCCTGGGGAGGTGCTTAAGAACCGACCCAGAAGAACGGTGGACGGCCGCCCAACTCATCGGGCACCCATTCCTTGAACAATCCGGCGACTCTGAAATACAAAATCAACACTCTGATTCTGATTCTCCGACGAGTGTTCTTGAAAAGGGAATCTGGAGTTCGGCAATGGTGGACCCGAAAGCCACCCGGAGAACTGAATCATTCGAATCTCCGATGCAAAGGGTAAGAGAATTATGTTCCAGTTCAGAATTCGGATCGGATGAGGTTGCGGATTGGATCACTGTCAGAAGAACAGAGGAAGGGATCGCCGGCGAACAAAATGCGTTAGTACGTGTCAGTTGTTGTAATGGCCGGAGCTCCGGTTTATCACTTTTGGGGGAAACAGTTGTTTGTAATTGTCAAAAGTCGGCATACCAAAAAGAAAGAGTAGATAATCAGTTACCGTTATTTTATACGGAGTATATCTTCTTCTTCTTATTACTACGTAGTTATTACTTCCTGAATTTTCTACCTCTTTTTCATAATTGTGCAACAAGTCAACAATAAACATTCACAAATGGCTCCACAATTACCGAAAAATATATAGAAATAAGGATTAAGGAGCTCGTTGATTTAGTGATGCATAGAAAATAATGATTAGGGATGTTTTTAATAAGATTGGAATTTTTTGAGATCTATTTTGGTTTTAACTGGTTTGATAAATTTATGTTTTATACGATAGTATATATTTTAATTTACAATGGTCAAAATCTGTCCTTTTATGGTTTTGGACTGAAACCACTCCAATTCAAAGCATCTAAAAAGGATGTCGATGTGATATACTGATCCCATACTCCTTAATTCACTTAAGATTAATTAGGGATATGATGGATTCAGGATTTGCGGTTAAGAGAAGGGAAATTATTTTCATTAGCGTAGGACACTACCTATTGATTTATTTAAAAATAGCACATATACTACATTTAATTGTATAACACTGTAAATTTAAACAATGAAAACAATAACTTACGGAGTAGATTTTTTCATTGAAGTGGTTTAGAAAAAGAAAAATTGACAAGAATAATTTCACATTTCATTGGTCTTTTTATAATAATTTCACCTTTACGTAATTCAAGAATAATCTCACTTTTGCAGCTCATCTTCTTTCACTGGACCTTGACCAAGTTTTTTACTCTTTTTTGAAAATCATATAAATAATTTCACCTTTCACTTTTTTATTATATCTGTATGAATGTGAGATTATTTATATAAGATTTTCAAAGAAAGGTAAAAAACTTGGTCAGATCCAATGAAAGAAGATGGAAAATGTGGGATTATTTTGGGATTATGTAAAGGTGAGATTATTATGAGAAGATCAGTGAAAGATGAGATTATTCTTGTTAATTTTTTCTCAGAAAAATGATATTGGTAAATTAAAACCTAAGTAATGCCAAATAAAATTGAAAGTTACTCCCTCCGTTTCGCAAACAAAGTCACACTTTTCTTTTTTGGATGTTTCAAACACAAAGTCACACTCCCCTTATTTCCTTATGCGGCAAAGAAATTTACATCAAAACAGTGTCAAATACTGCCAAAAAGTGTCAAACAATGCCAAACAGTGTACTCTATAGTAAAGTCAATTTATTTCCTTAATAACTGTGAAGTCAAACTGTGACTTTCATTGTGAAACGAAGGGAATATTTGATTATGAAAAATTTGTTTAAATTTTATCGTTTTACTTGAAAATAAAAGGTCTAACAGGTACACATCCATACATCATTTTTAAATTACTATTTCTTCATTTAACTGCATGAATTTTGCTACATATTAATTAATTAATTAGAATACAAAATGGAATTATTTCCAAAAAAGAATACAAAATGGAATTCTTGAATTCACTTTTTTGCTTACCATGAGTGTTTGTAAACCAAAATGAGTCTTTTTAATATTAAAATAGTGTGTATGAGCTTATTTTTTCTAAGAAAATTATTATGTTGTTAATTCATATAACTGGTGTACATTATATTAATGCTAGAATAGTTTAAAATAGCATTTGTATTAATGCTAGAATAGTTTAAAGGTTATTATTTATACAATATTTTTTTTAAAGTCAGAACTCAATAAGTTGTGTAATTTTAATGTCATACAAACATTTATATTTTTGATTTACTTCACATTATCTAGTTTGTATGATATTTTATAATTGTTTAATATTTTACAAAATTGGGTACTTTTATCCATTCAAGATAAATTAAAAATTACAAACATAGTACGCTTTATAAAAGGAATAATATTGTTCTATTATATATTTGTCAAATCCAACAAATTCATAATATTATTGATGTCTAGGAAGGAAAGTACTAATCTTAATTAAAATAGTTCATCAAGATAAACTATTTTAGCTTTTTCTTCTATTATAGCTCATGTTAAGTATTAGTCCGTATATATTATGTACCAAAATAGATTAATTTTGAAATTTAAATTTTACGTGGGGAAAATACACACTATTTTAATTAAAATATGTAAAATTTTATGCAAATATTATTTATATAATTAAAAAAAAATTGAAGTTTTAAAGGGATGGTTGCCACCCAGCCCGATAATATATCTTTGCAATTCAAACTTATTAAAAAAATACTATTTGGTATCATTTCAATGGACAATGGTTGAACCTAATTATAGAGAGCCACTTATGTTCGAGATTATAATGGATCAAAATTGGATTGGGGGACATGAAATCGAATTTAAAAATACATTACAAATTTAAGCATTTTTTAACTATGGAATAACTAATCTGCTAGTCATTGTATTATTATTGAATAAAATTGTATGTCTAGATAATTATGTCCACTATTATGTTGTAAATTTAGTAAAGTCAAGATACTTAATATATTCAATCATATAAAAAAATTGATTATATCATATATTATTATATCCCATCATATATGTTAGTGAACAAAGGTATATTCAGGTATTTTATTCTATCCACATTGTTTAGACATTAGGTAATCAAGATATTACTATATATTATTTAATGGAGACACAGATGGGATTGTAGGAAGATCTATGAATCAGGAGGTTGTTTTAATAATATGATCAAAGTTATTAGGAGTTTTTAACAATAAAAAACTTGATAAAAATTTGAAAACAAATTGGTTTACTAATAAAATAACAAAATATAAAAACTCGTGATCATGATAATTAATAAGTGATCATACTAATAAGCGTATGTGTATTAAACTAAATAGGTAAATATTGTATATACATAATTATAGTCGACATACTAAGAATCAAATTTTCAGGTGATGATGATTAAAAAAAATTAAGTAAATTAATAATGGAAAAAACTTTGTTCACATGGTAGTTAGGATGTTTTTACTTCAACTATTTTTAGTCTCATACTATAATTGTTCTGTGAAAATTGTTCGCTGCCATGAGAAAGATGTGCATCGTTTTACATAGTTCTCATATATAACAGATTGATTGTCTCATAGATCCTAGAGTATAGTCGTAATGGGAATGATAGTTCTCACTTGAACTCTCAAAGTATAAGGGCATGTTTACTTATTTTCCATTTTTCCAGAAAACTGGAAAACTGGAAAACAGAAAACAGGAAACGTGTTTACTGAGTTTTTTTTACCCTAAATAGGACTAAATTATTGTGTAAATTCCCAAATAGGAGTATATATATTTTTACTCCTGAATAGAACTAATATTCCAAAGTTACCCCTGCATCGGTTTCCGCGCATGAGGTTATATCCACGCATCACTTCTCTTGATGGCAGATTACTTTTTCTTCTTTGATTTATTAAATTTTCTCTGCGCATCAATTGTCTCTTCTACAATAGCACAACCTGCTCATCTTCTCCAACCTACTCAATAATCTACTCCGGCTGAAACCTGCAACGAGTTTCAAGAAGGGGCAAGCAACTACGACGGCCATCAACTAGCAGCGAAACCAGATGCCAGCAGGGGCGAGCAGAGAGGGACAAATACAATCCAGATCTGTTGCCATGGAATGAAGCTCAACTCCCCCTCCTTCCTTCGATCTCCTCCTCTTCTGTTTTTCTCTCTATCTCTCTTCTGTTTTTTGTCGCAGGTCCGACACTTGGCCAATATCTTCTTTGTTTGTTAAGATTGCCAAATTCAATCTGAAAATGTCATAAAAATGGCATATTCTATCTGAAAATGCCATAAAAATAGCATTCTTACGCTTTGAAGAATTTGTGTTTACCTTCGGAAATGCCATTAAAATGGCATTCTCCATTCATGTTGGCATTCCGATAAAAATGTTGACAACAGTGGTGGCGGTGGTCAGAGATGCAGCGGCGGGGGTTGGATCTGTAGCGGCGGAGGCTGGATCTACAACCGCGGCGGCCGGATTTGCAAGTTCAACAGTCAACGGCTGGAAGAGGCCAGATCTATTGCTCCGACGACCAGATCTGCAGCTGCGGTGGCCATATCTCAAACGGCGATGACCAGATCTACAACGGTGGCCAAATTTGAGGTCTCGACGGTGGCCGCGGTGGCCGGCGGTGGCCGGTGCCTGGCGGCGGCCGGTGCCTGGCGGCAGCCGACGAGTGCAGCGGTCCGGCATTATATCTGGGCAACATGTTATCAAGCTTCAAGGGCATGTATGTCCAACCACAAATAATAAATCCTACTTAGGGAATTTTGAAATAGTAGTCCTATTTTTGCCATTAATGTTTTATTTACTCCCATTTAGCGAATTCTCCCCATGTTTACCAAATCGTTTTCCAAAACCGAAAAAATGAGACATGTCTTTCTTTTCCTTAATGATTTGGAGAAGTGACTTTTACTAGTTTTCTAAATTTGGAAAACGCAGATGCTACAATGCCGCTGCAATGAATTTGCATACTTACACCTAGTGGTGGGTCCGGTCCCGCTCCGATGTCAATTCCATTCCGGTACCTCCATCCTCGTACCTTACCCCTTACCCCTACCCTACCCTACCTTACCCACCCAACCCAACCCCGCATACCCATTTTTCCCTATAATGACCCTACCCCACTCCGGCCCCACCCCGATCCACCCTACCCTACCGCCTTCCCCTACCACCTCGACCCCACCCCGACTCACCCTACCCTACCCCCACCCATATATTACCCCTTACCACATGCCCCTACCTCGGCCCCACCCCACCGCCATCCTGCCCCCACCCTCGTACCGCCATCCTACCCCCACCCTTCCGCCATCCGACCACCATCCTACCCCCCACCCTACCCTTCCCCTACCTCGGCCCCACCCAGATCCTGGGCCCACCCTATCGCCATCCTATCCCACTACCCCTACCTTACCCCAACCCTACCCATTACCCCCACCCTTACCGCCATCCTACCCCGCACCCCCTACCCCTTCCCTACCTCAGCCCCACCATGGTCCCGGCCCCACCCTACCCCCATCCTATCCCAACTCCATACCATACCTCTACCTTACCCCAAACCCTACCCACTACCCCACCCTTACCCCTAACCACTAGGCATGGCAATGGGTCGGGGCGGGTATTGCAAGA